CACACACATATATGTATATGGAAGCCATCTCTAGGCATCTCTCGCACCACTTATCCTGCTTACTTTGCGGCTCCCAGACCAAAACCCTGAAAGCAAGTCAAAATATATGCTCTCTTTTCCCTTTTCCACTTATCCGACTCCCTCTTTCTTCAACCTTCCACCATTCATTCATTCGCTTTCGCCTTAGCCTTCGCCAACTGTATCGGCCTCGACTGAGTTTACAGTTAGCTGTTTGTGTTTCTGTTTCAGATGTGCTCGGTTCTTTTCCTATTTCCCAGTGTTCGTACATACATTTGTAAATATGTTTATGTATTTGTGTGGGTGTGTGTGTGTTTGTGCAAGTATTACTGTATGTATGTGCAAGGATGAGTGTACTTAATGCGCCAATGAGTAACACACACGAAGCGAGACGCCAGAAACTGAATCAGATTCCGAATCAGCCCTCATTGAAACGCATCAGCCCACAGCCCAACGCAGCGAGCCAACCCCATGCGACGCCCTCAGCAGCACATTAATAGCAAAGCAGGAACAGCAACAACAGCACACAAACATACACATGCGAAATGTCGAAAATGCGCAGAAATTGGCGACAAAAGCGAAATACGAGAAAATAAATAAACACGAAATGAACGAAAAGCTAAAGGGGCCCATCCACTTGCGAACATGTTCGCCGAACATTTTGTGTTCGTCGAATGTTTGCATGTGGATGGTAGTGTTCGCACGAACATTTTTTTCGCCGACAGTGTTCGCGAAGAATAGAAATGTTTATATTTTACGCGTGTTCCTGTGAACATGTTCGACAATGGATTCAAGTGTTCGCACGAACATCATTTCTAGAAATATTTCGGACAGTCAAGACATGCCAAAATAAGCCGAAAATTTCTAGATTGTTTTCATAATGTTTTTGTGGCAAAATAAAAGCGAAAGCTATCAAAATAAAATGTTGCGCAACAAATCATGGGACAAATTATAATTAAAATATAAAGTTGTCGAAGAAAACGCGACAATTAATGTCGTCAAAACAAAAGCAAACTGTCTGCACGCTTTATACAGGCAGGAACTGGCCAAAATCAAAAGAAGCGCAATGTCAGGTGCTTTATTTTGTTTTAAATAAACATGTATTGCCAATAAGGCCACAATTTTGTTTTCATCCGCTAGCATGTTTACAGTCCAAAATTTGTTTTAAAATGATGTTCGACGAACAATGTTTGCCCAGTGGATGGGCCCCTTAAGAAAAGCAATGCGTGGACATTCGTGCACAGTCGTTTAATAGTATGTGTGTCTGTATGTTTGTGTGCTGCAGCCGTTTATATTAGTCATGGGAATGTCGCAATAGAGCCTGGGAGGCACATGGCCGAAATTACAGTTCAGCAGAAAAAAAAAACATGTTTTAACCGTAGCCAAAAGCTAGGCAGAATGCAGACGATTTTGCAGAAGTATAAGATTTCATTATGCAAGGGATGTGCTAAAGCTGAGCTTAATCACATTGCTACATTAAAAGTGGATTTAAGAAGCTTTCTGTACTGTTATTAATTTTGTAATATACATACATATATAGTGGAGTATAATGTATTCATGATTATTCAATCTTTTGAGCTTTAAAGTAATACAGCGATTTTCTATAGCTTTATCGCAAAGCTTAAGCCTGATGTCAGAGTGGCCGCGATAAGCGATGCGATAATATGGAGCGACAATGAGCGAGAAAGCTCTACATGCAGATTTACATGTAATCGCTTAAAACATGTCAGAGTGCAAGCGAAGCGAGAAGAGAGCCAAAGCGAGAAGTAAAGCGAGTTGCGAGAAAGCATTTCTGAAATGCTTTCTCGCTTCATCGCGTAATAAAGCTTTTCATATACGTGTGTTTTCGGTGCGTGCTGAGCTTAAATAACCGTTGGTTAGTAGGTGAAATATATTCTTTTTGGCAATTCAAGCAATATTTCTCTCTTTCACTCTGACATGCCATCGCTTTGCAGATCGCTCCGATATTTATCGCTTATAGCATCGCATCGCTTATCGCGGTCACTCTGACATCAGCCTTAGAGTAGACGTATAATTAAAACATTAAGCACTGGCTACTGACGCTGAAAAATCATTGGGGGAAACTGAAGCTTGAAGGAGTTGTTATCAGTCGATTGTGCTTAGCTTTGCAAGAACATAATACAACGACAATATATAGTCATTATAGAATTAAACAAGTAAGAAGGCTCCAGTCGAGACTGCTCGACTAGAAGATACCCTGAACCCTCCAAGCTGATATTCTAATCATTGTGCACTTCTTCTATGTACACATACATACTCATGCACTTATAAGCGCTCTGCTAACTGCGCAGTAAGCAGCGGCTGCGCTGGGCTGCGCTGCAATGTGGGCAATATTATGACAATTTATTTGTTGAATAATTTCTTTTGTAGACATACAATCTTAATGAAACTTTCAGAGCGTAATCATATGATTAAAATGTGTGTACATTCCAAAGCACAAGTCTCTAATACTTGAAATCTTTACAAATTGGGGGAGAAGGGGGCGTGGTATCCAAAATCTGTAAATTACAAAATCTTTGTGTCCATTAACTTTATACACAACGCAAATTTCTCTAGTCTCTAGGCTTAAAAGTGTTCAAACTAGGCTGAAAAAACCAAGTCGATTTTTCGATTATTCTCGATAAAAAAGTTATCGGATGAGTTATCGAAAAATGTGATAAACTTGTACTGCCTATGGTATACACGAGTATACATACCAAATTTCAGCTCTCTAGCTCTTATATCTTCTGAGATCCTTTTGCTCATATGGACGGACGGACGGACGGACGGACAGGGCTATATCGACTCAGCTCGTCGTCCTGATCAAGAATATATATACTTTATGGGGTCTGCGATGATTCCTTCTGCCTGTTACATACTTTTCACAAAACCATTATACCCTGATTTCCCATTTTCAATGGGTTCAGGGTATAAAAAGTCCCCAAATGCAAATTACTTATCTTATTTACGAATTATCTAATGGCAATTATTATACCCGTATGCATCTTCGAGCAGTCCATGGAACAAAGTCAAAGGCAAATAAAATCAATTTATCTATTGGCGTCCATGTGTATGTGGGGGAATGTGCGAGACTACGAATGGCGGGCTATCAACAAGACCAAAAACAACATCGAGAGCAAGCCAAGACGTGGCAAGGTATCGGCAAGAGCAACCGCGACTGCAACTACAACTGTAACTGCAACGCTGCACCTACAGTGGCAAAAGAGCCAACAGTAACTTGAAGAAAAACACACCGCGCATTTTCATTTCATGTTTGTGTTTGTATATGTGAGCAAGAGGGGTGAATGCCGTTTGAAATGCAAGCACACACACACAACCACTCATACACTCACACAGTCGCGCATGAGAATTGGCCGCATGGCATGCAAATGCATGCAAAACGTCGTTCCATGTGTGCGCATGTTACATTGTTTGTTGTGTGCATGTGTGTTGCTTCTTCCGCTTCCGCTGACATCATGGCGGCTGCAGCGACGTCATCGCCATTGCCATCGCACACACATACACAGAAAACACAGCGGGCACCGGCTCAATCCCTGGCTCCTGCTCCGGCTCCATCCTCTGCTCCGGCTACGGCTCAGCCAGCGACACAGGCAACATGAAAGCGCCGTTGCATGCAACCGCACGAATGCCGCATTTGTGCCTTTGTAGCTGCATGGCGCAGAGGGCACAGTGCAGTTGATTGTAGATTTCTGTGGAGCTTCGGCGAGTAGGCGAATGGGGGTGATGTGCGAGTGTGAATGTGAATAGGAATGGGAACAGGAATGGGTATGGCTGAGTTACACCATAATGCAGTCGGGCATGAATCGCTTCAACATGGTATGCTTTTGTGCCGCACGTTTCCCCTGCGCTTTGCCACCCCATCATCATAGTTCGCAGGACGCGGCAGACGTGGTGCCAAGCAGTGCCCAAAAGTTTTTTGTCGCTAGCTCTGTCTTTCCTTCTCTTTGCATGTGTATTTCTATGCGTGCTTGTGCCGTTTCAGCAAGCTACAATCTTGGGCAACGAAGCGTTGGCATATCTTTGGTTGCCTATTGCGGCGTTTGTTCGTGTTCTTCATTCAACTTAATTCGCTTTAACTTAACTCGCCGCAACTCGCGTTACGCAACGTCACGCCGCTTTATATTTTTGCCTTTATCTTTGCTTTTACTTTTTTTACGGCAATTCGCTCTTGAGCAGCGAGAGTAAGCACAGTTAGCGGTATCTAAGCAAATTATTTGCGATCACACTCAAGAGAATTTCAAGAGACCCTGAAGAGAGAGAGAGAGAGAGAGAGAGAGGGAGATGGGGGGGGGCAGAAAGAGAGAGAGAGACAGATATATATACACAGGCAGGAAGAGTAACGGATAGAGAGGGAGAGACAAACAGAATCCGATATAGAGAGAGACACAGAGAGAGAGAGAGACAGGAAAAGAGATACAGACAGAGTGAAATTTCCATTAGGATTGTCTCGAAGAGTATATCTTTTTAAAGTATCAGTTGAATCAAGATTCGAGATTCGTTGCTCAAGAATGATCATTCCGGCTATGCATATATGTTTATGTGAATTCTATATTTGGATCACATAAGCTAATCCTTAAGCCTGTACTACGAAAGTGGATCCAAACTAGGCAAGAATGGAAAATAAAGTACAAAACAAAGACTGCGTAATACTCGTTCATGGCTCAAAAGCTAATATAATTTTTACCAAAACAGCTTATTGTAGTACTTCTAATTATCTATGGGCTATATAAAGTATATATATATATATAACAAACTATTATATATTGTATCTTTAAGGATTCTTGAGTTATGATAAACTCATTTTATGACTCTTCAGATAGAAAATAGGTCTATATGCTGTAACATTAGGGCGCAAATATCGCTTTTAGAATAGACATTGGTCTTTCTCATTTCATTTAGCTGATCTTTCACTAACTGGGGCATATAATGGAAGAGTTGCTTTTGAAAAATTATGGACTCACTTGTTTAGTCTATCCGTGTCGTTGTCGGCCAGGTTGAGGAGGTAGGCCACGAACTCGACGTCGTTCTTGAACTGCAGCCGGGTGCGCATGTGCTCCCACTTTTCGGCGTTCTTTGTGCCGATGTAAATGTTCTTGCTGTAATTCTGGTGGCGATATTTGCGTCGTTCGCTGGCAGCACTACCGCTGCCACTGCCACTGCTCGACTGTTGATGGTGCAGCTGTGGCTGGTGCTGCTGTTGCAAGTGGTGGTGGTGGTGGTGCTGCTGCTGTTGATGCTGATTTTGCTGTTGCGGCTGTTGTTGATGGTGATGCGAGTTGCCGCTGTGCCGCGATAGCTGCTGCTGCTGCTCGTTGATGACGCTGCAGAGTGTCGAACTGAGCGCATGATTGCTGTTGTTGTTGGTGGAAAAGCTAGTGTTGCTGTTGCCACCAATAATGCTGTTGCTCGGCGCTGGTAAGCTGTTGCTGCCACCATTCCCACCGCCGTTGCTGCTGCCCAATCCAAGATTGCCTGCATTGTTAGCCATGTCTAGCACCGGGGCATTCTCCAGCTGGGCCGCTGCCACGTTTGCTGCATTTAGTTTAGCTGCAGTTGCTGCTGCTGCGGCGGCTGCTGCCGCTGCTGCGGCAGCGGCCACAGCACTCATATGCAGGCCGCCGCTCTCGGCGGCAGCGGCGCCGCTCAGATGCCCCGAAGTCAACGCTGTGCGACTGTCCACATCCTCATCGTCTTCATCGTCGTCATCCTCGTCTTCATCCTCGTCATCGTAGTCCGCCTGTTCCGTTTGACTGTGATCGTGCAAGTGGAGTCCGTGGCGTAAATCGGCGGGCAATGTTGGTGTTGCTGGGGCGGTGGTTAGGCTATGCATATTGTTAATGTTGTTGCTGCTAATGTTGTTGTTGGCTAGTTGCTGTTCCATAGCATCCTCATCATCATCGTCCTCATCATCGTAGTCATCGTCGTCCTCGTCTAGCAACTGCTCCTCGTCTTCCTCCTCCTCATCCCTTTCATTATCAAGCTGCTTGTTGTTGTTGCTGGTGCTTTCATTGTTGTTGTTGTTGTTGTTGTTGTTGTTGTTGTTATTGTTGTAATGATTTTGATGTTGCTGCGGCTGTTGCTGTTTGCCATTGTGCAATGCATTGACAGCGGCAGCAACAGCCGCCGTTGTGGCTGCTGCCTGCGCTGCAGCTGCTGCCGCTGCCTGCGCCGCTATTGCATCGCTGTTGCTGTCGTCGCTGCTTTGCGTGCTGTTGCTGCTGCTTCTACTTCTGATGTTGTTGTTGCTATTGTGTTGCAAGCCATTTCCAATGTTTTCGCTGTTGTTGTTATTGTTGGTGTTGGTGTTGTTGTTGTTGGCGTTGTTATTGTTGCCCCTATTAATGCTGTTGCTGCTACCGCTATTGCTGCCACTGCTAGCACTCAGTGCTGCTGCTGCAGCTGCCGCTGCGGCAGCGGCGGCGCGACTGAGAAAAGGCGCGCGTGGCACTAAAGGCGTATCGGAATTATCCGAGCTGTCATTAAAATCATATGCGCTAAAATCGGCGACATTGCTACTGCTGGCTGCTGCTACTGCTGCTGCTGTTGTTGCTGCTAATGTTGATGTTGCTGACGGTGCTGTTGTTGCTTTCGACATATTTGCATCTGTGTTCAGTTTTCTGCTGTTTTGGTTATTGTTGTTGCTGCTGCTGGCAATGCTGCTCCTGCAGGTGCTGCTGGTGCTGCTGCTGCGACTGCTGCTGTCGCCGGCGCTAAATGGCGTCGCGGCCTGGCAGCGCTTTAAAACCGTTGTTGTTGTACCTGCTGATGATGTTTCCGTTGCTATTCTTGCTGTTAGTGATGCGCTTTGCCGAACGCTGCTCAGTTTTTGCTATTTGTTGTTGTTGTTGCTGCTGTTGCTGCGGCGCGAAGTACTACTGCTGCTGCTAACGACACCTCTCTCGGCTTCTGCTTCCGTCGCTGTCGCTGCCGCCGTCGCTGCTGGCGATGCTTCTCTTGGCACCTCTCTTTGCCTCTGCTGTTGTTTCTGCTTCTGCTTCTTCTTCATTATTCACACACACAATTCGCGTGCGAGGCTCACACACACACACACACACACACACGCGCACACGCGCGCAAAGAGAGACTAGCACACACACACACACACACCTTACACTCACACACAGACACACTACACTAGTTGTTGTTGTTAATGCTGCTCCTGATGTTGCTGTTGCATTGTTGCCGCAGTGGTTATTATTATTGTTATTGTTTTTATTTTTTATTGTTATAATTATTGCTATTACTATTATTGTTGTTGCTGTTTTATCCTGTTTCTGCAATTGATTGTTGTGGCCTTTTTTTTATGAAATGTAAAAAAAAAAAATGTTAAACGTTAAATACGTCGTTTTATCTACACTCGTGTACATCAGCTATACAGAAATATACACTTGCACACACACATACGGCGACATCGACGTTGGCGTTAACATTCATATTAACGCTGGCAGCGCAACGTCAGCGAGCGAGCAGCAGAAGCAGCAAAAATTAACAAGCGCGAGAGAGTAAAAAATAGAAATCGAAAAAAAAATTAAAGAAAACGCAGAAGCTCGTTGGAAATGAGGTCCCGTTACTCGTTGCAACTTTCACGTTGCCTGCATGCGTTTCATTTCGCCGTCTGGCAACGCTGTGCGTCAAAGTTAAAAGCGAGCCGTTTTTACTGCTCTTGCTACTGTCGCTATTTTCTTCCAAGTTTGTTCCACACAAATTGTTTATCTTGTTATTTTCGACAAATGCATTTGTAACATATTTATGAATATATAGGCTATGTTTTCCAATCGCAGCTTTTACGTCCACGCCCCACAGAGCAGCCGCTATAAAATACACAATGCGACCAAATAAGAAAATAAGAAGAGGATGTTCAATACAGTATATGAAAGAACCTTCGCACGCAACAAAAATAACATAAAATCAAGAATGGGAAAAGGGCGTATGGTAGGATGTAAAGAACATCTGCAAGGGGGCCAGTCGCACTGTTATTTGTTGCTGTTGTTGTTGTTGTCGTCGCCGTTGTTGTTATATGCGAGAATTGGCTTTATTTTGACGTTCTGTCTTTCGCTATCCTTGTTAATGCGCGGGTGAGTGTGTGTGCGTGTGTCTGGGGGTATAACACCCACCTAATGTGTGTTCAATGCGCTGGGCAGCGGAGTGATAGACGCCTTCCTTGCGGCTGCAATTTTTGTCATTTGCTTACTGCGTTGCGAATCCGGTTCGTTCTTGTTTGTTTTATAATTTTTGTTTAATGTAATTCACTTTTCACTTGATTCTGCACACACTTCAAAAGAATATGTTAAAAAAAATGTTGAGTAATTTTTGCATATCTTTTCAGTAGCTCTTTGTTTAATAACTGAGTTGTTGCTGTTATTTTATTTCTTTTATTTTTGTAGTATATTTAAGGCTCTTTTTGTTGTTTGGGAATCTGACGTTTGGTGCCTGTTTCGAGCGTTTTTCTCCGCAGCGTTCATATGCCGTTACTCGTTGGTCGCGACGGAATGAAGGACTTTTTATTTATGTGTATGTCCTCGTCGCAGCCATCGTCGTCGTCGCTGTCGCTGCCGCAGTCGCGTCGCTGCCGGAGCTCCAGTAATTTCTCTATGTCTATGGCTATGCCTGCGCGCGCTTGCTATGTATATATATGTATGTACACATGAACATATTTATGTGCATATATTTGTATATGCTTGCTATTGGGAGTGTATGTCTGTATTTGAAAAAGTTTCTGCGAGCGACGCCGCCAAAACGCCACACAGAGACAGCCCGCCGCACACACAGACAGCCAACCAAACTCTAGCAGTCCAGAAGCTCAGCTAAGTCGCGGTGTTGCCATCGCCTATGTACATATGTATGTGGAGAGACCTTGTACGTGTATTGTATATGAGTGGGCGTGTGTGTGTGTGAGTGAGTGTGCTTGTACTTGTACACGCGAATTGAGATGACGACAACAGCGACAGCGACGACAACAGTGACTGCGAGGATATTGTTAGCTACACTGCAAGAGAACGCATAGCGACAGTTGAGCACAATCGAACTTGTGTTATCGATACTATTTTAACATATTTTATTGTGAGCATTATTATAATTATTATACTATGCAAAATATACCTACATATATATATATACAGTATGTACGAGTTTTATTTTATAAGAAATGTACAAACACTAATTTTTTGTTATTAATATAATATGATTTGCAAGCCTAAAAACAGTATATACAGTATAGAACTAAATTTCGCTCAGTGTATGCATTTTGGCGCCTGACATCACTACACATATCGTCATCTGCGAAATGTACTATATCGTCGTCTTCGTCCTATCCGCCATCGTGGCCCTCCGCCATCCGCCTTTGCTGTCGCCTTGCGTTTGCCTATGCCTTTGCCTTTGCTTTTGCCGTTGCCTTTGAATTTGCCTTTACCACCGTATCTACGTTATCGTAGTCGTTATTGGCACGACGGCCGTCGCTGCTGTCACAGTCAGCACCGTATGGTATTGGGGTTGGCAACTAAAAGTAAATGGCGCCACCCCCAAAAATGGTCTGTACCAGAGTCAGAGGTAGCCTCAGAACAAGAGTCGGAGTTAAAGGCGGGCGCGGAGACGAAGACGGCGGCGTGGTCGTATCCACCCGCCTCATATTCACAGTGGTCATAAATAGAATTTTTGTTTACGTAGTGGTGAGCTGCTGGGAAGCGAAGCAGTTGACGATCCCCGAGCTACCTCTTACTGAGACCATGGCCAGCTCACATCAAGCCTGCCTGCCATGCCACTGCTAACGCCGGCTGTGACTGCGGCTGTGACAGCGGCTGCGACTGCGACTGCAACTGCGACAGGGACAGCGACAGCAGCAGCAACAGTGACAGCGGCTCCACGCGACTCGGCGTGAATTCTTTACGGTTTGTTATGTTTTGCGATACCTTCCCTGCGACTGGGTGGGTCACTGTCTCTCTGTATTGGTGTGTGTGTGTGCAGGGTGGTTGCTCTGCCGGCGTCCATATGGGCAACTGGCAGCGCGTCGTCCTCGTCTCTGTGGGCGGTGGGGTGGCTGCTACGGTTATGCTTATGCGCCTGCTCCTGCTCGCAACTTGCAGCTCTTGCTGCGCTCGTTGCTTTTGGCGCCCCTCGAACGTATGCAATGATTTTTTCTTTTGGTTTTCCTTCTCTCCGAACTGGGGGTTGCGAAACTAAATTTCCTTAACATTCGTGGGTTTGTGTGGGGAAAATGTTGTGAAAACTAAATGTACGAGAGGTATCCAATGGTGTCTATGTGCTGTGTGTGTGAGTGTGTTTATGTGTGCGTTACTCGATTCTTTTACTCGTTGCCCATGTTGACTCGTTACATTTGCAAAAATTTAATACCAAAATATACATAAATAAATTAACTTATTGCTGGATAAAAAGCTTATGAAATGATAAATCGAAAATGCTAATTCCTGATAACACTACAAAATATTTTCGATTGTTAATTTTTGAATTTATTTATTATTATTAATGCCAAAACGGAAATCTTGCGCAAATAATTTTTTCTGCAGTATTTTTCATAGTACAGTCGAGTCTCGATAATTTTTACCCCGCCAAATCGAAAATCCTCTATCCTCTCGAAAATTCTCCTCCTATCCTCTTGAATTTATTTTTAAATCGAAGTTTTTTGAGTGCAGCGGTTAGCTAACTAAATACAGCAATAAAGTGGTATTTTCAAAATTTAAATTCAGTTCACATTTTTGTATACCCTAAACTCATTGAAAATAGGAAATTAAATTGGTTAATGGATTTTTGAGAACGTATGAAACAGACAGATAAGGATGGCGATATATAGCTATTCCCCTCTGCTCGTCCGTATGAAGGTCGAGATGTTATAATTCAAAAAAACTATTAGCTTGAAAATTTACATGTATACTCGTGAATATCATACGTAGTACCAGTTTATCATTTTTGTTCGATAGCTCATCTAATTTCTTTCTTACATTCTACTGTTAAAACTAGAGACTTCAGATTTATTGTATAGGTATTGCATTAATGTTATCGATTCTAGGTGTCTTTTTTGGATTGATTCCGAGAGAAGTTTGAAAGTTGAAAATCATGAAATAGAGTTTGTGACTGGGATTCTTGCTCGAAGTGGGCTTTTAAATGTACGCTTTTTTGCGTTTATAAATATATTTGAGAAAACAACAAATTTATTGTAATAGCATGTTCGTCAACAGTAAGAGAGAGACTACGAGATTTTCTGAAGCCTTTGATCAATTGGTATTTCAATAACTCTTCGCCTCAGATATCCACATATACACATTTAAGTTCTATAAAGTACACATAAATCTATATTGAAAATTTGGAAATTCTTTATTAAAAGATATAGAAGATATAATTTTATAACTGATCGATAAGGTTTTTAGTCAATAACAATCAAACAAAACTGGCTATAATTTTTGATCAGGCAAATTTGATATACGCGTTCGTTATACTCGTACACGTACGTACAATTTTCTGTTGTAGCTCTTGTACTTTTTCAGATGGACGCGCTCAAGCTCAACAATTACTACTAATTTTTTAATTTATTGTTAAATAAATACTTTTTTCCCCATTAGATGAGTTTATTCCAAAGTCAAGTCTGCCAATAAGGAAAAGCCGATACTCCCTTTTCATATAAAAAGTTCGACTAAATATAAGCTTTTAGCCTTTTTTGAAGCTCTGGTATTTTTCTAGCATTGACGAACTCTACTTAATTTCAAGCTTCATGCTTAAAGCTCCTGATAGTCGACGGCAAGAACATTTCTATATGAGCTTTTATGATGCTTTGAAGAGGCTTTATCAGAAAGCTGAGCTATGAAATACGCCCCCTAGCGCTGTCCTTCACAACTATGAATATGCTAACTAAGGGGTTGGCAATGACTGACTAAGTGAGACGCATGCGTCGCTCTCTTCTACACTCTCATTGTCTGCCTCTCTGAGATGCCCTCCAGCTCTATTTCGGACGCTCTCTGATGATGTCCATTCGATTCGTTCGTCGTTTTGAGGTTAAAGCGATGCAAATGTCAAAGACATGATTCCAGTTACAATTTCTGTT